TAATGACCTGCCCATGCCAGTCAAGTAAGTGGTAGTCATCTCTGGTCAGATTCTGTTCACTTCTGATAGACTGAATGGCCCTTTATTTCTCAAAGTATGTTGTGCATTCTCCTCGTGTTCACATTCTGCCCCTTTCTTAGCAAGTTTATCCATGGTTTCATTTTCCTGGTATACCACGGTGGGATGGCACCAGCTGGACTACAGAACACCTTTAGACAGCCACTTTGCCAAGTTCAGATCTCTTGAGGACTTGGAGCACTGATAGCACATCTGTGAGGATGACCACCTGGTGGCAGTCAGAATTGGGATGGAGTTTGTGCATTGCTATCAGCAGGTGACTAGCCACTATTTATAGAGAGACTGAGCATTACAAGAGGAGACCTGGTGCAGTGAAGTCAGTCCTCTTAATGTTTAAACTTTAAATTTAAAGCATTTTGTAACATCACCCAATATTTTTGTGTGTCTCCAGATGCAGATGGATGATCTCTTCCACAAGCATACAATCTACTCTCAAGGAGAGGAGTTGTTTGGTCTTCCCAGAACTGAAGAGCCAGAGCTAATGAGGGTGAAGAAGGAGATGACATTGCTGCAGAAATTGTATGGTCTGTACACAAATGTCAACACCATCATCAATGGCTACAATGAGTTGAGTTGGTCAGAGGTTGACTGTGAGAAGATCAATGCTGAGCTCACAGAGCTTCAGAACAGGTTGGTTGGCAGGTTTATTTTCTGATCAATTAGAGCGAGAGATCATAAAACTGGCGGTGTCTCATGCAGTAATGCCTGTGCAACTTCTGAGTTTTTGTGACTGCTGCAGTTCAAGGGGTAGACTGGCAGCTGCCTTATGCATTTATTGCATATACTTTTTGTTGGCTTTACGAAGACTGCAGCTGTTGTTTTTTTTTTTCTTTTTTTTTTTTTAATTATAGGGACAGTATAGAGTTCTATGTGGTTTACATTGGCATAATAATGGAACAGTCATTGGGTAACCTGTTTATCATGAATTTAGAACTACAGCTAACAAATGCCTTGCTGACTGAAATAAGTGATCTTGTCTTCAAAATTTGCAATCTCTAACATAATTTGGTGTGTGGTTATTGATTGTGTATCGACAAGACTGAGTTTTTGAGAGTCTGGCCAGTTCACTGAAAAATTCTTCTGCGTTGGCTGGAATGCATCTTGGGGAAACTTAGAGTGTTGCAAAAGTTTCCAGTCAGTCAAGATGGACATGCCTGTTTGATATGTTAGATTAATCGCGGTCCAGCTGGATAAGAAAAAGGAAGTGTGTTCATTATTACTACTAGCCTGAAGCAGCATGGAAGTTAGCTGAAGCAGCGGGTGGTCTGCGGCGGTAGGCATGGAAGCGTTCATAGCTCGAGAGTTAGGATCGGCGGCGAGGGTGAGACTGTGTTGTGGAGCACTGCTAGAAAATGCTAGGAGAAGCAGGAGCATAGGGTGTTAGCTATTGTTTACCATATATTAACATGACATTAGTGCTTGCTTGGCAATTCATTCACTATGTGTGCGAGGCACACGCACGTCTTGTTGAATAAATACTTGTGACGGTGAACTGCTGGTTATGTTATTTTGGATTGTGTGCGCTCATATTGTGAACAAAAATTATCCGTTGGACACTTGGCATGTATGCTAGAAACATCCATCGACCCCAAAAAGCATGCAACAATTATGACAAATTAATGTAGGGTTACACCATTGCTTTCTATTTATATAGGTGTCGTCGGTTACCAAAAGGTTTAAAGGACTGGCCTGCTTTTAATGACCTGAAGAAGAAAATAGACGACTTCAATGAGACTATTCCCTTGCTGGAACTGATGGCCAACAAGTCCATGCAAGGGCGTCACTGGCAGCGAATTCAGAATGTGGCCAACTACAAGTTTGACTTTGATGTGACCTCTGACCTGCCGATGGACCAGGTCATGGAGAATGTCCACTTGAAAGACATTATGAGTGCTCCACTGTTACCTGTGAAAGATGATGTTGAGGTAGGCCCTTTGATATGATCAGTTTTTTTTACTTTTTATTTTTTTTTTGTCCTTTTATTCTCAAATAGTCTTTACGCCCTCAGTCAACTTATGCTAAGTCTTCCTATCCTTTGCGACGCAGTTCACCCTGTGCCCCCCCCCCCCTCCCCCTTCCCAACCTGTGTCCTACCAACCTATGTATTTTGCACCTGTATCTTCCCCACCTGTATCTTCCCCACCTGTATCTTCCCCACCTGTGTCCTCCCCACCTGTGTCCTCCCCAACTTCCTCTTTATGTGTTTTTTTTTTAATCAATCTGCCCTTATTCCTCTGACTTTCCAGTACAAGGATAGTTTAGTTATATTGTTATCGGTTTTTTTTTTTTGTGTGGGTCGCAACCAATGCCTTCATCTTTTCCTCAAACCTTCATTCACTTGAATTTGTTTGACTTCAGTAAATTATTTATTATCTTACTTTATCCCAGGATATCATTAGACCTCAGTCCTCAAAACGGCTTATGACTGTAACAAATATAGACTACTATATATGTATGTAAGTAAGTAAAGTGAAGGTCCCTTTTCAACGTCTTGGGCATATTGGGCATTTTCAGCTAGACCTGTATTTTATAGACCAATCAGCACTCGGTGGGTGATGTGGCCAACATCATGCCAGCCGCCTTTACTTCTTCAAGACGTTACCTGGGTCCCATTTAAGGCTGGGCCAACCTTGGAGCCAAGATCACTTTTTTTCCTGCTCCAGCAAGACCTGAACCCATGACCTGCAGATCCACAGATAAGCATCTTGCCACTACACCACAGCAGCTCTCCCACACACACACACACACACACCTCTCGCTCTCTCTCTCTCTCTCTATATATATATATATATATATATATATATATAAATGCCATGAACATCCATTAAATCCCCACCAAAGCAGTTTGCTAAATTTATAAATGACTTTTGCCGCCAGGACAACAAGGTCTAAAATGGGCACAGAAAATGTCTTGAGAAGCAAGTAAGGCCAGTCAAGATAATTATGATGACATCAGCAACCAGTTCCCAACACACCGGCATGACCTGGAGAGAATATCTAAAGGAAACTAAATACCCGGGACCTCTGAAGTGATGCTTGCCACTCTGCATGGAGCATACCTGTCTCCCCCTTTCTCAACATACTCTGTGAGTCAGTGACAATCACGGCATGTATATACAGCTGATTCTCAAGCCAGCGGAGGCAGCAGGGACTGCCTCCACCTCAGTACATTTATCATATTTGATGCGAGGCCAATCAATCTGATAGGGGAGTCACTGTGGCCCAGCGGCGAAACGCTTGCCGCAGATCAGAAGGTCATGCGTTCGCTCCCTGGTGGAGCCGGACTTTGAAAAAAAATTGACCTTGGCTCCCAGGTCAACCCAGCTTGAGTGGTTACCGGGTGCACTCCCAGGAAGTAAAGGCGGCTGGCGTGATGCTGACCACATCACCCATCTTGTGCTGTTTTTTCTATAAAAATATGGGTCTAGCCCTATATGCCCTATATGCCTAATGGCGTAGAAAAAGGGCCCTTTACTTTACAATCTGATACTGCAGTTGTTATTTGCATATACTTTACAGCACATCACAAACTGATCCCAGCAGACTGACTGACTGACTGACTTTCTACCCCACCAGGACATCACACAAGCAATAAATACCCGATGACACAATGTGCCACCATGTGGATGCATGATCACAGTGGAGAGGTACCAGAAACCGTCTTTACAGTGGTTTGAGTCATTGCAAAACTCTCCTGCCTGTGCAGTTACATTCATGTTTGTCCCAGGGCATGCAGGTGTTGTTGGTAATCAAAGAGCTGATAGACTGGCAGGTGCTGCATTAATTGAAGATGGCCGGCCCATGGATCATGCAGACATTGTCATTGCCCTTAGAGAGATAGGACGTGTCATCACTGCTAAGAATACGAGAATTGGGGGTTAAGATTGGCACAGCGAAGCGTGAGAAGCACATCGGGCGCACACAAAGTCTTGTTAACCAATACAGGACTGGCACTATTAACTGTGTGACGCTGATGAATATGTTGAGAGGGAAATCTGAACGCCTATGGATGTGTCTGGAGTGTTGGGAAGATAATCATTCATAACTCACAACTTATTTATGCAAGGTTATTTTTATCAGACATCCAAACCATCTATTCATTTATTGTCCTTTTTTTCGCATTATGCGTTACATAGGACTCACAGTCTATTTCTCAATTCCATTCTGTTTATCGGGATCGCATCCTTCCCTACAAGTTTCTGTAGTAAATAGTCTTATTTATCCTTCTTCTTCCTAAACTCCATGCTGTGTGGCATTGGTAGTCATGTCTGTCCACAACCTTCTGTCTCATGTACTTCTAATCAACTCTGACACAGATGATCCTCCATCCGATGGTGTCAGACAGTCCAGCATCTGTTCTCTCGGTCTCCTCTTCCCCTCCAGCTTTCCTACTGTCACGATGTACTCCAGTTTTCTCCTTCTCATCACTTGACCAAAGAATGTAGATTGCTTCTTTCTGATGTGGGCAGTCAGTTCTCTTCATGAGTCAGTTTCTTTCAAGACGTCTTCATTACTATTTTTGTCTGTTCAGGGTATTCTTATCATGTATCTATAAAACCACATCACCACAGCTTCCAAATAAGTTTTCACTAACTTACTTATGCTAGAATGAGGAAATGCAACCTGAAAAAAAAAATGTATGGCCTTTTCTATTTCTGATATGCTATTTCTCAATTCCATTCTGTTTATCGGTATGGCATCCTTCCCTACAAGTTTCTTTAGCGAATAATTTTTTTCACTAGTGGGGCAGCTGGCCCTACACTCAACCCTTCTTCCTTCTTTTCCGAGTCTGGGACTGGCAGTGGCAACATGCATCTTATACTAATGGGAAATGCTCCATTATTTTAGATCTTCTGTATACAAATTGTTTATTGCTGATATTTTTCATTTATTAGCTTTCTCTTTTGTGTTTTGCATGTTAGGACATCTGCGTGTCTGCCGTGAAAGAAAAGGACATTGAAGCAAAACTCAAGCAAGTAATGGCCGACTGGACAAACAGAACACTGACCTTCATGAACTTCAAGAATCGTGGGGAGCTGCTGCTGAAACCTGGAGACACTGTAGAAACAATTGGCTTGCTTGAGGACTCATTGATGATACTCAGTTCTTTGATGAGCAATCGGTAAGCATGAGTTTACAGGTCAGTAGTCTTTTATTTCTTCTTCCTCTGCATCATCCCTTTAAAGGGCTGTTGACATGTTGTATTGTGGTTTTCAGCTAGGCTATGATATTTGCACCATTCAGCCCAACAACTCTAATTTCAAATAATTAATTAGTCTTCTTTTGCAGCTTGCTTCTTAAGGAGTTATGGGTTTGTTCTCCATGGAGCCCACATGGGAAATTGTTAAAATAAAATCTTGTACCTCATTCTGTGTATTCACTCTTCCCTTACTGAATGTATTGTCCCCCAGTAGGTTCTGAGGCCTCATTGTGGGGAAAACAAGAATAGACCCACTGCCTCCTCGACAAGCATGTAGAGGGGGGTGCAGCACATCTGGTGTGTCAGAACTATGAAACTGTGTAAAGTCAACTACTCTAGTCGTCACATGTTCCAATGGCCATTATCCGTATGCTGTGAACATGCAGTCACTTAGGCAGTCATTCAGGGCTAGTCCATCAGTCACTATCATCACCTATAATATGTCCATAGCCATGCAGGCCTCTGACAGCCACCCCTAAGCCACAGATGCCAAATAAATATTTTCATCTTCATTATGAGACATAATTCTTTAGAAATGAAACCAGTTAAGCATAATGAGTATGATATCTTGTGTGTCACAGATACAATGCCAGTTAAGTATAATGAGAATGCTAACTTGTGTGTCACAGATACAATGCCAGTTAAGTATAATGAGAATGCTAACTTGTGTGTCACAGATACAATGCCAGTTAAGTATAATGAGAATGCTAACTTGTGTGTCACAGATACAATGCCAGTTAAGTATAATGAGAATGCTAACTTGTGTGTCACAGATACAATGCCAGTTAAGTATAATGAGAATGCTTTCTTGTGTGTCACAGATACAATGCCAGTTAAGTATAATGAGAATGCTAACTTGTGTGTCACAGATACAATGCCAGTTAAGTATAATGAGAATGCTAACTTGTGTGTCACAGATACAATGCCAGTTAAGTATAATGAGAATGCTAACTTGTGTGTCACAGATACAATGCCAGTTAAGTATAATGAGAATGCTAACTTGTGTGTCACAGATACAATGCCTTTTAAGTATAATGAGAATGCTAACTTGTCTGTCACAGATACAATGCCAGTTAAGTATAATGAGAATGCTAACTTGTGTGTCACAGATACAATACCAGTTAAGCATAATGAGAATGCTAACTAGTCTGTCACAGATACAATGCCAGTTAGGCATAATAAAAATGTAACTTGTGTGTCACAGATACAATGCCAGTTAAGTATAATGAGAATGCTAACTTGTGTGTCACAGATATAATGCTCCTTACAAGGCTAAGATTCAGATGTGGGTGCACAATCTGAGTACTACAGCTGACATACTGGAGCAGTGGATGGTGGTGCAGAACCTCTGGGTCTACCTGGAAGCTGTGTTTGTTGGTGGTGATATTGCTAAACAGTTGCCACAAGTAAGTCTCTTAAATTTATGCTTATGTTTTCAGACACTTGAGATTCTAAGTTCTCCATGTGGGTTCTAGGACTCCTTTATGAAAAGGGAGGCAAGAAGATACCCACTGCTGCTTTACAAGCATGCTGTAAACTTCAACTATTTAAGACTTTTGGCAGAGCAGCACATTAGAGTGCAATCTAGCCTTACTTATCCTAGAAATGAGGAAGTGTAACCTGAACAAAAATTGTTATGGCAGGGCAGATTCAGCTGATAGCCTTGATTGGCAGCTGGTCTAGGAGGGGAACTCTGACAGGTGAGCAGACAGAACACTGCTCTTCTTATACTACAGCTTCTGCAGCATACTTTGTTCTAAATGTTTTAGTGTTACCTTTCCTTTGGAGTAAACAAGGCAGGCCGAGAAAGGGATCATGCCGCATGGGTGGCACATGGTCTGTACAATACTGACTAGGCTTTTTGCTGTGGAGAGAAGAAACGATATCCTTGGCCTTAATTATCTGTGGTTCCTTTGCTTCTCAGTAGCATGGTGTGACACTGTCATCTGAAAAGATGAATAGGTGTTGGTGAACATTTTAGACCCCAGTTCATTGTCTAGTTCTCTTCTTTCTCCACTGACTTTTGAAATGGATAGCAGGCTTTTGAGGTGTTTTCAAATTCCATCTAAACAGCAAAATAAGCATTGGTTTTATATAGCTGTCATTTATGTAGGCTGTTGAAGACTTGCTGGTCACAATGTTTAGTAATGTAATTTGTGTAAACCACCCCAATTAGGTGACTCTTACGACATACTTGTTAGGAGAGCATTGGGTCTGTTCTTTTGTTCCCTTAATGAGGATCCAGAACTCACGGGATGCTCAGTTCCAAGAAAGATGTTGCTTCTGCTATGAAGTTGGTGCAAGCTGAAACTGAATGTGTCTCTGTGTTACAAATAGTCTGTGTACTCTAGATTCGCCCATTTCCTTTTTATGACTTCTTTGCCAAAACTATCTGTAAACATATGTGTATTATTGGAGGGATACTGATTCCTGAGTGTATAAAATGAAAAAGATCTTTGTTCTGATTCAGTTTGTTCTTTTTGGAGATTATTCCTGGGGCTTCCAGAATTGCACTGGGTAAGAATGGACCATTAATCCATATTTCGGGGCTAGATCTTCACACATTATTATGTCTGTTTTTATATTTGCATGTTGCGTCAAAGTTTCTCTGGAAAAATGATTTATACTTTTTCTTGTTAGTTTTGTTCTTATTAAAATCAATGTTTCAGCAGATGATTTTGAAGCCTCTTAAGCTTTTCAAACTAAGGAGTTTGTATTGTCTTCGAGGGTGCTCCTTACTGCTCCGCGTGATATTCATAAGCTCACATTTTTGCTTAGGTTTCACAAGTTCATTTTCACTGCTTCAGCTCATGAGATTGGAAAGTATTCATAAGAGGCCTACCTGCTCCAGCGTAGGCTAGCCCTCCCGTGGTTGTACTGGCTACACAGTATGTTTATCTAGCTTTTGTTTTCATTAAACCGAGCCTGTGTATGCCTTTTAATTGTATTTTCTACTTCTGAGTTTGAATTCTAGGTGAGCCTGGTGTCTAGTGTAACTCCTCCCCTGCCCCTTCCTCCTCTACAAAAAAAGTGGGCAGATCTATGACCTTATTGATTTTCTAACATTAAAAATAATATTTGTTTTGTGTAGATGAAAAAAAAAATACTCTGTTTCAGTGAGTTTTGGTTTTATTAGTTTTAGACTGATATGACTGAGCAGCTGTATAAAAGTAGTCAGTAGTATTGTCTCTTTTATCACAGAATGTTGGAATATGTAACTAAACCTGTTATCCCACAGTGTGCCAGCAACTTGGGACGGAGAAGTGCATAGTGGAGGAGACTGACCTTACTTATGCTAAGATGAGGAATTCCATTCATGGCTTTGATTTTCTGTGATTCTTATGCTCCCTATAACACAATATAACACTATCATCTTGAAAGACGAAAAGGGTTAATGCAAGTTTGAAACCCCAAGTGTTTGCTAAGTTTAATAGTTTCTTCACTGGCTTTTGAAGCAGACAGGAGGCTTTTGTGTTTTCAGTGGGCCATCTAAACAGCAAAGTCATTGACGAACATTTATTCTATGTATAGTAGTCTTCATTAAGATAGGCTGTTGGAGACAAGCTAGTGACAACATTTAATAATGTCCTGTAAATAACCAAGAGCCTTGGCTCTTTTTTACGCTGCTCTGAGAGACTGGCAGTAGGCTTTACCGACTGAACAAGTGAACAGTCAATATAGTTGAAGATGCTATCTATATAAAATTCAGTCAGATCATTGATACAGAAAATCTCTTATCAAACAATACATTTGTGAGTAATTGTAGAATTTAGAGTTCAGGCCATCCTTCTACCAGCGTCGAAGTATGGGAGTATTAAAACAAAATTAAAATATGGCATATTCTTTAATGAGAATGGTAAATCTGGTTATAATTTATGTGTTTATTTTTATAATTTATTGGTTTATTTTGAAAATTAAGCAATCAGGGCGATATTTATCTGTTACACAACATTGAGAAAGGTGCGAACAGTTGATCAAAATGTTCTCTCTGTCTCTCTTTCTACATCTGTATAAAAAAAAAATGTTACACTTCCCCCACCTCACTCAGAAGTGGTATCTGACAACACACATTGTTTTGTTTAAAGAAATGTTCAGGGTAGTTATTTTGCACATGATGTAATCGTGGCATTAAATAACAAATTGATAACATTCTGCAAATCATCACTCAGTACGTTGGCCACTAGGAATCTTTTTTTAACAGCAGAGAAATGAAATTGCTATGGACAGGTAACAAAATCTATCGGTCTGTCCAGGACAGTACTACAGGGCTCGATTTAAGCTAGGCATATATCGCAGCCTGGGTGTTAGTCCAAACACAATCGCCCTTTAAAGGGTGAATGGGGAAGACGTATAAAAAAGAATCTGCACCAAACGGATTAAGTAAAGTAAATTGACCTTGGCTGCCAGGTTGGCCCTGCTCAACATGGGTACTAGGATGTCCTCAGAAGTACAGGTAGCCTGTGTGATGCAGAACATGTCAGTCACCAAGGGCCAGTTAGTCTACACAGATACTACTGGTCTTGTATCATGTCTAAAAAGATACTTCTAGTCTGATATCATACATTTATAAAAATACTGTTAGTCTTTATCATACGCCTATAAAAATACTGCTAGTCTTGTATCATATGTCTGTAAAGATACTGCTAGTCTTGTATCATATGTCTGTAAAGATACTGCTATTCTTGTATCATATGTCTGTACACATATTGCTAGTCTTGTATCATATGTCTGTAAAGATACTGCTAGTCTGGTATCATATGTCTGTAAATATACTGCTAGTCTTGTATCATATGTCTGTACACATATTGCTAGTCTTGTATCATATGTCTGTAAAGATACTGCTAGTCTGGTATCATATGTCTGTAAAGATACTGCTATTCTTGTATCATATGTCTGTACACATATTGCTAGTCTTGTATCATATGTCTGTAAAGATACTGCTAGTCTTGTATCATATGTCTGTAAAGATACTGCTAGTCTTGTATCATATGTCTGTAAATATACTGCTAGTCTTGTATCATATATCAGATGCTTAACTGATGAGAAATGTGTCCTTTTTTTTTTGTAACCTTATAATCATGACTCTTCTGCATTTTAAATATATAGGAATCGAAACGCTTTGCTGCGATTGATAAATCCTGGTTGAAGGTGATGCAGAGAGCGCATGAAAATGACAATGTGATCAATTGTTGCGCTGGAGATGATACCATGCAGCAGATCCTACCACATCTACAAGAGCAGCTGGATCTATGCCAAAAGTCTCTTACTGGGTACATTCTGTCTATATCATTGTTCATGCACCTGGTTTACATTCCATTCATAGATGTGTTCTTGTACATTGTTGCATCCAAATACAGTCCTGGGAAGTAAAGGTGGTCGAAGTGATGCTGACCATATCACCCACCAAACCGATTGGTGTTTAAAATGTAGGTCTAGCCCTGTATGCCCAATGCACCTGAAGGCGTGGAAAAAGGTCTTTTACCAATTTTTACTTGGTTAAATGCTCTCAGTTTATAGCAGATCCAACCAAATGAGACCCGGAATTGGGTCCTTAGTAAGATGATGGGAATGGTAATCTGTCTCAGGAGAAAAATAAAAATCATCGTCTGCCAAAACTACACTAGCCATGTGACCCTAAATCTTCAAGCTCAACACCATCCTTCCCCCCTATCCTTTACCCCCCCCCCCCCCCACCCCCCATAAAAAGTAGTAAATTCTGGCACTAAAAATGATGATAGTTAACTCAGTTCATTAATCATGGGTGCTGGAATCAGGGAGCTTACTGACCTTGTACGCCTGAAGAAAATGGGCAAGGGGCTTAAGTGGGCTGATTTACCAATGCACAGAAGTTCCTTTCTCCTTTAAAGAATGTTTCATAAATTTCATTTTGATTAAAAAAATATATTATTTACTGGCTATTCAGCACATATTAATAATAATAATAATTGCACACTTAAACATGGCTTAGGCTCCTTGAGGGCCCCCCCCCCCAAACACCTATACAGTTATGGGGGGAAAAGAGGGGGGGGGAGGCTTAAAGTGTTTTTTTTTTCAGCACCTCTGAAATTAACATTCAGAAACAGCAATTTTAAAACTGTGTGTGTGAAATTGCAGGTATCTGGAGAAAAAGAGGCTTCTCTTCCCGAGATTCTTCTTTGTATCGGACCCATCTCTTCTAGAAATTCTAGGTCAGGCCAGTGACTGCCACACAATTCAGGTATGCTAATTTGTTGTTGTTTTTTTGGTTGTTTTCTGTCTGTTGTCTTATACTTTTGTAAGTATTTAACTCTTTCTGTTAATTCTATATGAGCACACACACACACACACACACACACACAAAGACACACGCGCATGCATGAGCGCACAAACAACCACACACATGATATTGGCTCTGAAAGAAAAGACTGACACTGTTGAAAATGCAGATTTCTACATGCACATCCATGCACGTCTGCCTGCCTGCGCACATGCACGTACACACTCGCGCACGCACACACACACAAACAAATTGGCTCTACAAATTTTTTTATAAGCCAGTTGTTTTGAAAGAGAAAAAGAAAGGAAGGGAAGGGGGAAGAAAACCCACTTACATACAAATAAATTCCCAAGCATTTTGTGTGTTTGTCTGCCTGCCTGCCTGCCTCCCTCTCTCTGGCTCTCTCAATACACACACACCACACACACACCCACACGCATGCACACACACACATGCACACACACACACACACATACACACACATATATAAATATCTGTTTTCTGATGCGTTTTACTTTTGTTAACAGTGAATTTTTTGGGTGAGGTCCATCATTGCTTTGTATGCGTGTATATCTATGCATGCATTTAAGTGTTTGAGGGTTTGTAGGAAGGACAAGAAAGGTACAAAAGTCAGACACTGGTAAACATAATTCACCTGTTCATGCACACAGGCACAAAATCTACGAACACAGATAGGCATACACATGGACACTTTCAGATAGGCTACACATAGGTACTTGCAAGTACATATGCCCACACTCAAATGTGTATACAGTAATTGCTTTTCAAAAAAATCATGCACATATACTTAAAAAAAAATTTGAGACGAAAGTAAACTTAAACAGGCACACCTGTACACACACACATACACAAATGCATGCGTGCATGCACACACAAACAAATGCATGCACACACACACGCGTGTGCACACACACAGAGATAAAGGGGAGGAGAAGGTACGAATTCGTTCCACATACATATACTCAAACACATGCCATCATTATTATTTGGAGGTATCTGTTGGCTCTATCTTTTAAATGGTTGGACTGCTTCATTAAAAAAAAAAAAAAAAACCTTCATCATTCTCCAGAAATGGTAATTAGCTCAAAATCATGGCTCCTTGAGCCTGATTCAAAAGAACACTGGAATCCTCGAACATCACTGTCCCAGTCACGATATCCAGTCAGTCACTTTTGATTTATTTTTGTAGTTGTTGTCAATCTGACCATTTTCACTTTCTTGTTTTCTTGTCAACTTGACCATTTCCATTTCTTTGTAAACTTTACCAATCAGACTTTCTATTTTTATTGATTTAACGCAACCTTTATTATATAATATTGTTTCACTGCATTTTTTCAGTGTTTCTTTTTTCAATGACAGGCACATCTGTTGGGCTTATTTGACAATGTCAAGAGTGTGGAGTTTCACGAGAAGACCTACGACCTCATCCTGGCTTGTATTTCCAGAGAAGGAGAGAAAATTATGGTATTGTTTCATATCATTTCTTGATTCTTCTTCTTCTTGTAGTTCATCATTGGTCATCTTGTCTGTCCACACCCTTCTGACATGTATACTTTCAATCTGAATTTAACTCATTCACTGCCAAGAAACTTACCTTGAAGTTTTTTTAGGTTCTACTTACCTTATATAAGTCAGCGTCTATGGCATGGGTGTTGTGAACAAGCTATGTAATACTGGTGTGTGTCAGATTCTATATACATGTATATATACAAAAATGTACACACACACACACACTCTCACACACACACACTCACACAAACACACACATATATATATGCTGGTACCATCAGAACTTGCATTTACTGCTGAAGCTGGAGATGCAGAGTTCAGAAATCCTCTGGCTCTCATCAGCACACCCCGAATTAATGGGTGATAGCATCTATAGAAAATTAATTTGGAACATGAGTGAAGCGAACTGGCTAAATTTCCTACTGTGTGACAGAATGTCTGTCGAGTGAAAGAACTACTTACTGATCTGCTGAGACTCAGTCCATCAGGATATGATCTGGACTCATATTTGTATAGACCTATCAGAACTTGCTGGACGATGGAGTCAATTTTGTGCTGTCACTTTGCTTCCCAGGATATTGCCTAGAAACAACTTTAGTCTGGATCAACCTGTGAGCCAAGTTCATTGTGAAGAAAATAAATGCACCTAAATGCAAATGTGAACTTTGCTGAACTTTATGTACCAATGCTGTAAAACCTCAGGATGTGACATACCTGGATATGAGTTTTTCAGGGTACGTACTCAGGCTCAGCAATTTTTATTTTGTTTTTTTGCCCTGTAATACGAGGTGAAATCCAGGTTGCCAGTTGGAGAGATAAGAACTCGTGCTATTGCCTGACAGCATCTCGATAACTTTTAAATGGATTAGGTCACATTAACATTACCAAAGGAGCACTTGAGCCAGTCGACAAGGCACTTGATGATGACAGACTGTAGCATTATGGTAGAATGCCACCTCATTTTCTACTGTGAGCAAAAAGCAACAACAAAATAGAAAAAAAAAATAGTTTCAGGATATGAGTTAGTCACCAAATGAGCTCAATCATGGAATGGGTTAAATTCATGTCCTGAGGTTTCACTGTACTTAGTAAGTTTACTGACATACAAGAGAGTTGTTTACTTCACTTTTCAAATGTAAAGAGTTAATGCAGTTTTACTGGTTGACTATTGACCAGCTAAACAAACCAGTCCGTTGCGAAGGCAATGTGGAAAATTGGCTTGATAGCCTGATGAATGAACAGCAATCTTCTCTGCACATAATCATCAGGGAGGCATCCAGGGCTTATTCGGCTCCAGAGTTTGAGCTGTACACTTTCCTCAACTCATTCCCGGCTCAGGTGAGGAGTAACTTTTCACATCTGCATATTTTGTGCTATAATGTATTTCTGATTGCATGTTGACCTCATTGGTTGTTTGATTAGTATGTTGTTTGGTTATTTGAAAAAGACTCTCTTCTGTTATATTTGTTTGCATCTCCATTGAGCTTTTTAGTCTTATTTTGTGTTTAGTTACTATTTAAGTACTATAGCTGATTACTTGCTTTGGGGAAAGCCTCCAGGGCTAATACAGCTCCAGAGTTTGAGCTGTGCATGTTCCTCAACTCATTCTCAGCTCAAATTAGTAGCACAGATCAAACCAGCTGCCTTGCCTCTTCAGGGAAATTTAGCAGTTTTGGCATTCTCGACCTTACAGAGATTTTTTACCAAAATTTTTGTATATAATTTGTATTTATATATTTTTGAAATTTTTACATTTAACAGTCATGTTCATCATATTTCCTTTCTAATTTTTAGTTGTTTTTTTAAACCTTTCGCTGCTGCGCCCTCAGCCAGCCAACGTAACCTCTGTGCTAAGCCAGGCGAGTGCTTATCTTTCCTTATGTGCTGAATACCTTTCTCGCCTACAAAAGCAGAAGACACGCTTGCGGCACGGGGTAAAAATTGTACACCTAAAATAAAAACTCTTTTGAAGGCGCATGGTTGACCTTTGCGCTGACAAGTCGGACGCTCTTGGGCTATGCCATAAAAACTCATTAACAAAAAGAAATACTACAAACTTACAAAGCAAACACAAAACACTGTGTAAGCAAATACATGTTTTTTTTAATTATTATTAATATATTTTTGTGTGAAATATTTTAAAACAAGATGCGACACACAATGCCAAATCACAGTCCTTGCACATGTATCTGGGTTTCCCGTAGTTTTTTGCTTTCTGTGCATACCACACACTTTCTTGTTGGGAATTTCTTCTGTGATGTTACGGACTCTATTGTTGAAGGGTAATGCCTTTGTACTAAACGAATTGGCAGATCTTCACTTTTTTTGGTCCTCCTACACTTTTTCTCTTTTCCTTGCAATGTTTCTGTAGAATTTCTCTTACTAACATTAAGTGAAATTGGGCAACAGGAGTGTTTTTCCACACAAATGAACAGTATACCAACCATGCTTCACAAAGCAACAGGATAATGTGTAACTCATCTAAATGCACCTTAATGCACGTGACATGATGTTTAATTAATTAATACTTCTGTGATCTGTTGCCGAAAGAGCTAATCTATTTAAAAAAAATACGGCATGTAGGAATTGAACGTAGGACCTTTCGATTGCAAGGCAGACGTGATACCAACTACGCTAGAAATCTATATGAAAATTGGTACCGAAAAAAGGACCAGTATTGTACACTTTAATAGACAGACACAGTTTTGTCAGTTGTATAGTATACAAGAAACATTAGTATTAATTATCATGTCAGTACGTGACCATATCTTCATTTTGATTATTGGGGATTCATTTCAAATCCAGTCAATGTAGATAGCTGGGTCATATGGTCAGTCTTGCTCACAGCTAGAAGTACACGTGTCCGACGGCGTGCCGCGAAGATAGCCCAGCTCATATAACTCAACACGTTTCAAAGTTATCCTTACTATTACTCCTCAAAAGAAACTCCATTAATTCTTCATTAACTATAATTAACCAATTTTCTTGTTATTTTGTATTTTTTTTTTAATAAGTAGATTAATACAAAACCAGAAATATATTTTAGGGCAAAAAAATACTGTTCACCAACCATGCTTCTATGGTAACAAAGCAACAGGATAATGTGAAATGCATCTAAATACACCTAAACAAATGTGATATGTGATTTCATTGTATGTAAATGTGTCACTTTCATCAGTTTTAGGTAATGTATATTGCCATTTCACCCCCAAAGTTACAGTTCTTAGCAATCTGTAAGAAAAGTCAAAGACAAGTTAGCTCGTCCTTAGCAGTGAGGGCACAGAAAACAGAAGACGAGTTAACTCGTCCTTAGCAGTCTACCGGGCAGACGAGTTATAAAGACTCTATTCTGTTTTACTTGTGCGCATCTTTTCCTCCATTAAGCTTTCTAGTCATAGTTTTTTTTTTTGTGTGTGTTTTTTTTAGTTACT